GTAAAAATAGGTCTTAGATAGGGATGTTTTAATGTCACCATGGTTGTTTAATATATTTATAGATGGGGTTGTAAAAGAAGTAAATGATGGGTGTTCAGGAGAGGGTGGGGTTAAATTATGGGAATCAAATTCAAAATGGGAATTGACACAGTTACTTTTTGTGATGATACTGTGCTTATGGAGATTCTAAAGAAAAATTGCAAAGGTTAGTGGGTGAGTTTGAGAATGGTTGTAAAGGTAGAAAGTTGAAAGTGAACATAGAAAAGAGTAGGTGATGAGGGTATCAAATGATTTAGATAAAGAAAAAATTGTATATCAAATTGGGGAGGAGGAGTATGGAAGAAGTTTAATGTTTTCAGATACTTGGGAGTTGACGTGTCGGCGGATGGATTTATGAAGGATGGGGTTTTAATATAGAATTGATGAGGGAAAAAAGGTGAGTGGTGCATTGAGGTATATGTGGAGTCAAAAAATTTTATCTATGGAGGCAAAGAAGGGAAGTATGAAATATTAGTAGTACCAACACTCTTATATGGATGTGAAGCTTGGGTGGTAAATGCAGCAGTGAGGAGACGGTTGGAGGCGTGGGGTGTCCTGTCTTTAAGGGCAATGTGTGGTGTAAATATTATGCAGAAAATTTTGGAGTGTGGAAATTAGGAGAAGGTGTGGAGTTAATAAAAGCATTAGTCAGAGGGCAGAAGAGGGGTTTTTGAGGTGGTTTTTGGGCATTTTGAGAGAATGGAAACAAAGTAGAATGACATGGAAAGCATATAAATCTATAGGGGAAGGAAGGAGGGGTGGGGGTCGTCCTCGAAAAGGTTGGAAGGAAAGGTTAAGGGAGGTTTTGTGGGCGAGGGGCTCGGACTTCCAGCAGGCGTGCATGAGCGTGTTTGATAGGAGTGAATGGAGATGAATGGTATTTGGGACCTGATGAGCTGTTGGAGTGTGAGCAGGGTAATATTTAGTGAAGGGATTTAGGGAAACCGGTTATTTTATATAGCCGGACTCGAGTCCTGGAAATGGGAAGTACAATGCCTGCACTTTAAAGGAGGGGTTTAGTATATTGGCAGTTTGGAGGGATATACTGTGTATTTTTATACGTATATACTTCTAAACTGTTGTATTCTGAGCACCTCTTCAAAAACAGTGATAATGTGTGAGTGAGGTGAAAGTGTTGAATGATGATGAAAGTATTTTCTTTTTGGGGATTTTCTTTCTTATTGGGTCATCCTACCTCCGTGGGAGACTGCCGACTTGTTAAAATAAAAAAAATCTGTTCCAAACACCCAAAAATATTCACAAAAAAATATATTTTTTAAAGATTAATTATAGTTTTACATACACAAAACAATGAGAACTAAATAAAATAAATTAAGAACATTTAAATCACTATTACATACCTTTATTGAAGACTCTTGTTGGCTTATGGAAGACAGGGAGAAGGAGAGAGGGAGGGCAGATTATTGTTTGGAAAGGGAATCCCCCTCCTTAAGGAATTTAGGTATCAAAGCCTTCTCTGGGGTTACTTCCCTTCTGTGTCTTTTAATGCCACTAGGACCAGCTTGAGAGTCATTGAACCCCTGTTGCATAAAATAACTGTCCAGAGTACTCTATTGCATGTCACTAAACATGTTGCAGATATGGCTTGTTTCAGCTTGGTCAGGGTGATATTTCTTCACAAAAGTTTGCACCTCATTCCACTTTGCACAAATGTCCTTAATCACTGAAGAAGGCACATCCTTGCCTCTCTCTTCCTCCTCCTCCTTTGAAGCAAGTTCCTCAGCTGTGGTCTGTCACTGTTCCAGTTGAAGGTGTTGTAGCTCTTCCCTGTGGTCCTCTACCAACTCTTCCACATTCTTGCCACTCACATCCAACCCCATGGACTTTCCCATTGCCACAATAGATTCTACAAAAAGCAGAGGGTCGACAGGGTCAGGTTCAGCCTCAAACCCTTCAAAATCCTTCTCGAGGACACAGTCTGGCCACAACTGTCTCCAAGAAGAGTTCAAAGTCCTGGAAGTCACTCCCTGCCAAGCCTTACATATAAGGCTTATGCAGTTGTAGATATTGAAGTGATTCCTCCAGAATTCTCTTAGGGTCAATTCAGTGTCCGAGGTCACTTCAAAGCACTTTTGAAACACTGCTTTTATGTAGAGCTTTTTGAGGTTAGAAATGACCTGCTGGTCCATGGGCTGGATGAGAGGAGAGGTGTTAGGAGGCAAGAACTTTACTGTCATAAAACGGAAATCCCTAGACAACTGGTCTACCAAGTTTGGAGGATGAGCAGGAGCTTCGTCAAGTACCGGGAGGTAGTTTGGAGGTATTTTTTCACACACGGGTCAAACACTTCATGGACCCAGTCAATGAAAATTTGCTTCGTGACCCATGCCTTATGATTAGCTTTCCACATTACACACAATTTACTCTTGATGACATTGTTTTTCTCGAACACTCTGGGATTTTCAGAGTGATACACGAGTAAAGGCTTCACCTTGAAATCCTCACTAGCATTAGCACAGAACAAAAGAGTTAGCCTGTCTTTCATAGGCTTGTCTCCTGGTAGTGCTTTTTCCTCCTCCATGATGTAGGTCCTCTTTGGCATTTTCTTCCAAGAGGCCCGTTTTATCACAACTGAACACTTGTGGATACTTTGCTGTGGTCTTTGAAAGTGAGATCCTCTGCTCTGGTATTATCACTCCCAGATCCTTCACATTAGTTTTTCACTCTACTGTGTGGTTGGAATTTGCTTTATACTCTGATACATATCAGTTTAAATTTCCTCAAGTTTTCCATATCATAGTAATTGACATTTCTCTTCATTGAACTTCATACTGTCTTCTGTGGCCCATGTAAAGATTTGGTTGATGTCCACTTGGAGATTGTAGTCTGTTCGATGGATGACATTGTCATGCAAATTCAGGTGATGGAGATGTAAGCCGGGGCTTACATCTCCATCTGTCAGATATGAGGATGAGGAACAGGATGGGAGTGAGTACTGTGCTTTTGAAACAAGAGTGTTTCACTGCAGCCGCCTTAGACTTCATTTTGTTTACCAAGAAGTTAACACATTCACCATCCTTCACTTCCTAGAAGCTTTTTCATAATTGTACACGAAGAAAAGGAACTACACAATTCTTAAATAAAAAAAAAGCTTAGTAGTTTTACTTGTAATTGATGTAGCCTGGTCCCAGACCAAATACATAAAAAAGACTGTGCAATGGGCTTGGACATACAGCAGGCATGTGTGAGCATGTTAGATAAGGGTGGAGATAAATGGATTTGAAAAAGGCATATGACAGGGTAGATAGTGGGGCAATGTGGCAGATGTTGCAGGTGTATGGTATAGGAGGTAGGTTATTGAAATCAGTGAAGAGTTTTTACAAGGATAGTGAGGCTCAAGTTAAGAGTATGTATGAGAGAGGGAGATTATTTCCCAGTAAAAGTAAGCCTTAGACAATGATGTGTGATGTCACCGTGGTTGTTCAACATATTTATTGATGGGATTGTAAAGAAGTGAATGCGAGGGTCTTGGCAAGAGGTGTGGAGTTAAAAGATAAAGAATCAAACACAAATTGGGAGTTGTCACAGTTGCTCTTTGATGATGACACTGTACTTTTGGGAGATTCTGAAGAGAAGTTGCAGAGGTTGGTGGATGAATTTGGTAGGGTATGTAAGAGAAGAAAATTAAAAGTGAATATAGGAAAGAGTAAGGTTATGAGGATAACAAAATGATTAGGTGGTGAAAGATTGGATATCAAATTGGAGGGAGAGAGTATGGAGGAGGTGAATGTATTCAGATATTTAGGAGTGGACGTGTCAGCAGATGGGTCTATGAAGGAGGAGGTGAATCATAGAACTGATGAGGGGAAAAGGGTGAGTGGTGCACTTAGCAGTCTGTGGAGACAAAGAACTTTGTCTGTGGAAGCAAAGAGGGGAATGTATGAGAGTATGGTTGTACCAACACTCTTGTATGGGTGTGAAGCATGGGTGACGAATGCTGCAACGAGGAGAAGGCTGGAGTCAGTGGAAATGTCATGTCTGAGAGCAATGTGTGGTGTGAATACAATGCAGAGAATTTGTGGTTTGGAAATTAGGAGATGTGGGATTACCAAAACTATTATCCAGAGGGCTGAGGAGGGGTTGTTGAGGTGATTTGGACAGGTAGAGAGAATGGAACAAAACAGAATGACTTTGAGACTGTATAAATCTGCAGTGGAGGGAAGGCGGGGTAGGGGTCAGCCTAGAAAGCGTTGGAGGGAGGGGGTAAAAGAAATTTTGTGTGTAAGGGGCCTGGACTTCCAGCAAGCCTGCATGAGCATATTTGATAGGAGTGAATGGAGACGAATGGTTTTTAATACTTGACGTGCTGCTGGAGTGTGAGCAAGGTAACATTTATGAAGGGATTCAGGGAAACCGGCAGGATGGACTCGAGTCCTGGAGATGGGAAGTACAGTGTCTACACTCTGAATGAGGGGTGTTAATGTTGCAGTTTTATAACTGTAGCGTAAAACACCCCTCTGGCAAGACGGTGATGGAATGAATGATGATTTAAGTTTTTCTTTTTCGGGCCACCCTGCCTTGGTGGGAATTGGCCGATGTATTAAAAAAAAAAATAAATAAATAAATGGTTTTTGGGATTTGATGAGCTGTTGGAGTGTGAGCAGGGTAATATTTTGTGAAGGGATTCAGTGAAACCAGTTAGCTGGACTTGAGTCCTGGAGGTGGGAAGTACAATGCTTGCACTTTAAAGAAGGGGTCTGGGATATTTGCTGTTTGGAGTGACATCTAAACTGTCATATCTGCATGCTTCCTCAAAGACAGTGCTTATGTGTGAATGATGGTGAAAGTGTTTCTTTGTTTTTTGGGTCACCCTGCCTTGGTGGAAGAGGGCCAGTGTTAAAAAAAAAAAAAATATATATATAGTTTCAAACCAATGTTTCCCTTCACCTTATATTCCTTACATATAAATGCTATATCCAAGTAATGATGGAAGTACCAACCTGTTAGAGTATATTTTGAAGAGTTTGAAGTGTTCATGGGACACTCCTACCCATCGCTGCATCTCTGTTTTCAGCTGGCCAATTGTTATTCTTTTATCTACGTAGACCCGTAACACTGCAAAGTATATTTATATACCTCATGTTTATTTTCAGTAGCTAGCAGTGTGCTTTTATACAAGACTCTATGTATAAAATACTCACAAAAAACAATACTGGAAAACATGCCTTTCCAAAATTTAAGAAAAAACTATGCATTTATTTGAAAAGAAAAAATATAAAACTGACAGATTTTTTGAACTAAAGAATTTTTTCAGTGCCATCTATTACAAAAATAATTAAAACCTTCAAGGTCTTAAGGTTACAGTAATCCCAGGCAGACTGCTGTGCTTTGACATTTCCACAATTTTTTTTACAACTGTTATTTATGTGGTGACTGTCTGATGTACTTTTACGCACAATTTTTTGTGCCTTCGAATATACCACCTGCAATATTTTTTACCTCAGCTCAACTGTTTTGGGTCTCCTGCAACCTCTCATGCCTCTGAAAAAAGTCTAAGATAAGGCAAGACCCCACAGTGCATCATGATGTAACACTGCCTAACTAGCATCAGTAAGCAATGAAACCAAGACCTTTTGTTCCACCACTAGCTTTCCTACAAGCAAACAAGGTGTGGAGCTGCCAGGAAGATGCCTTGTTTATTCCAAATTTATTACAGCACAATTTCATGATACTAACAATGAAATTCAGCTAATGAACACACTTTGCAGATCTTACCTAGGATAACCCAATATAATCAATGTGACTTATTTCCATGAGTATTACACATTGAAACAATTGTAATATAAGATTTCATAGTAAATATATGTTTTACAGTGGTATGGAAGGCACACAAATGTTACGAATATACAAAAATTACTATGTTTATATAATCCATATTACCTTCAACCCAAATATATAACATAATTAACCTAGGATAGCCTAATGCAGTCAAACAATGAGATTTATTTCCATGTTCTGTGGAGTATTATACCCTGAAACAATTGCAGTATTACAGGTATTCCTTGTACATATTGTTAGAAGACCAAAGCAGTAAAAATTAGAAAAAACAATTTGCTCTAATTTATAATGTATATTCTAAGTGAAGCAATATTGAGTTATGCATTTTTCCTTGTTTGAAGTACTAAAACTTCTTGAAACACATCTAATATCAACTACCCTATAAAGTGCACACAATTCAGAAATTTGACCAACTTTACACAAAATTAAAAAAATACCAATTTAAAAAGAAAATCCAGGCACTAGTACAATATTTCCTCTGTTCATTAATTACATCCCCAGGCCTCTCCTACATTACACTTGCCTTCCATTTTGAATTCATAATCACACAAAAATACATTTACCTTAGTTCTCAAAGTGTCAGGAACATAATTCTATTTTTACTATTTGTTCTTTATTTACTGTTATTTTACACAAAATAAAATTTTTCAGAAATACGTATATCGCCCATGCTATAAGAGGGTGTACTGTGTTCCTCTTACCTTCCTCCTCTCATTGTTGAAGCAACACTCATTTTTTAAGTGCATTCTTAGATCTGAGTACAAGCATACAATGCTTCCTTTACTTTCCTTAACCCTTTGAGGGTTTTCGTCGTACTAGTACGTTTTACGCGTAGGGGTTTTTGACGTACTAGTACTCATAAATTCTAGCGGCCTCAAATCTAGTGGGAGAAAGCTGGTAGGCCTTCATATGAAAGAATGGGTCTATGTGGTCAGTGTGCACAGTCTAAAAAAAATCCTGCAGCACACAGTGCATAATCAGAAAAAAAAAAACTTTGACCATTTTTTTTTAATAAATCAGCGACTTTGCAGTGTATTTTCGTATGGTATTTATTGTTGTATTCTAGTTTTCTTGGTCTCATTTTATAGAATGGAAGACATATTACAGAAATTGAGATGATTTTGACTGGTTTTACAAAGAAAGGTGCCTTGAAATTGAGCTCAAAGTAGCAGAAATGTTCGATTTTTACCAAACTTCAAAAGTAAACAAATCGTGCCAAGCGTGCAATACACGTCAACTGGTGAGTCTAATATTCTTTCACAAGTGCACCAATAATATTTATACCATTTTTTACACTAATGCAGTAGTCTGCATAACAGTAAATCTTATATTTTTTGTGAAAATAAAAATTCAAAGTGGAAAGCAAAAGAATATAAGAGGGGACTTGAGACATGACTAATGACTAGAGGAAATGTCATTTTAGTGCCAGGAATGTCTTTGTTGTTTATTCTGGATCCTATTCCGAAATTGGCATCTTTTGAAATTTGTGTGAAATTGGCAAAATTGCTAAATTCTGACCACTGTACTGGATAGTTGAATTTCATAAATGAGTGGTTTCTTGCATCCATTCGATAGAAAACATGGAGTTCTAGCGAAATATTCATGTTTTTTGTCGACTAGTACAGTGAAATTGGCCGAAAATGGGGCTCAAAGTGGGCAAAATCGCCGATGCGTAAACATCGCCGAGACCGCTAACTTTGCGAGAGCATAATTCCGTAAGTTTTCTATCAAATTTCAAACTTTTGGTGTCTTTATGATCGGGAAAAGATTCTCTATCTTTTCATAAGAGAAAATAATTTTTTTTTTTTTAAATTTGGCCGACCCTGAGAACGAGTTTCGGAGAGGGCCTGTCGACCCTCAAAGGGTTAATGTCCAAACTTGACTGATCTGTATCACACAAGGAATATCTAATTGACAAGCATTGTGTTCCCTGTATTTCAATTTGTAAGTGAGTTGACTGTAACTCTGAATCTAATGTTCTACAGGAAATATTAGCACAAAGGATAATTATGTATCACATTTGTAACTGCCGATTGACATTCAAAAACAATTATTTTCTCAATAGTCTTTTGGAACTTGTTCGTAATTATTATTACATTCTGGGGAGAGGGAGAAACACTAAACCCATACAGGTCATACGAAGCCTGGGAAATGGAAGGGGCGGGTAAGTCTCCTTTGTCAGCACAGATCATTTTGACTCAGCCACTCATAAGTCAGGGACTGTCTGTACTGTATTTTATGAGATGAATTAAATCATTCATCCCATGAACAAGGATGAGCTCTGGGTTGTAATAAGGCATTACAGAATATAAATGAACAGGTACAAATATAAGAATTCCTTTCCAGAAACTCACTTTTATGATTGGTCTCCTCTTCTGTGAAATATTCGGCTCTGAAGTACCGTTTAACCTCCACTTCCTTCTCATCCTCTCCCCAGACTACCTCGTTGTCCTGGAAAATAGGTAAACCCCAACCCGTGTCATCTCCCTGAAAAAGGGAAGAAACACTTTTAACACACAAGTATGCAAGCAAATGTTAGACTATGTACAGAGATGCCAGCCTTGATCCTTGCACTTACTATTAAGTAACTATCTGAATAATTTTACCAAAAGTGTTGTACGACATTTTTAAACACACTCTAATTCCAATTTTGTGTCACAAATGTACAGCTGTGGCACAATAGGGAACTAGAAATCTGGGGCCATGACCATGCCAAAGTATTGATTTTCCAGATTTTTGAAGCCATAATTACATAAACTACAACTTGTCAAAAAATATCTTGTCTCAGCTACCAAAACAATATGAGCATATCACACATGCAAGACAATAAACAAAAAGAGACACATGGTAAACAAAACAAGAAAAATAATACGAGAGAACATTTTCAACACCAGTTTCTGCTACTTTATAACAAAAACCTCCACCAAAAGACCTGAACAAACATCAATTCATCAGATGGCTAAGTAACCACACACCTTTTAAAGGATCTAGGGTGAATGCAAAGTCCCTTTACAATGAAATTACAGCACATGTCATGTTGTCCACTCTTCATGACGCACTGATCCATGTTTACTTTTTTATTACAGACCATACCCCAGCCGGGATTGAACCCGCGGTCATAGAGTCTCAAAACTCTAATCCAGGCCGGGGTATGGTTTGTTTGCAATCGTGTCATTACGATTTCGTGAGTCATGTTTTCTATTACAGTTTTGGTCATGCTGAACAATAAATATCATAAGAACAGCACCTGACAGCTGTTATTATGTTCTTAGCATTCATTAGCTACAGCTCTTAAAATCCTTCACTAACACCCAAAGTGAATTATCAAATTTATCAAATATTACCATGTTTAGGCTTTAAAGTCACCAAGCCTTTAGCAATTATGACACAAGAATGCCAGCACTGCCTTAACATCATTAATATAGTATTTGCTGAACCATCAAGCCACTCTTTTAGTAAGAAATACCCAACCAATCAATAGCCCACTGTTGCCTCCCTTGTATATGTAGGGGTATATGACCAGGCGTGGATATAAGGGGGGGCCCAGGGGGCCCGGCCCCCCCCTTTGGCCCTCTTTGGGCTTTGGCCCAGTGTCGTAGGGCCTCGGCTTGGAGATGTCAAAATGCCGAGGGCTAGGCTTCGACGGAGCGAGTGCCATGATGGGGAAGTTCAGAGGTTGTGCCGCCATCATCATGCAACAACACCCCCTGGCGAAACTGATCCACTGTTTCAGTCACCGACTGAACCTGGTGCTGACTAAGGCCTGTGATGTCAAAGAAGTCAAACTCGCCCTCCAGACGCTGAACGAGGTGTACAATTTCATCCATTCCAGCAACATGCGGACGCTTCGGTTTACCAAACTCGTGAAGCTATCCTCAGCCAAGCGGGAAAGCTGGTGCCCCTGTGCCCCACCAGATGGGTCGAGCGGCACGATGCTGTCCTCGTGTTCATCGAGTTTCTACCTCTCATCGCTATTTTTCTGGAGGATGAGATGAAGTTGGATGCCAACGCCGGACTCCTACTCGCTGAGATTCGGGACCCCCACTTTCTCGTTGGGTTGGTTGTGGCCGAGTCCGTTTTGGCACACACGCTTCAGCCAAGCAGAACCCTACAGAAAAAGACAGGTGACCTGGTATGTGCGTACGCACTGATTCGTGAAATCGGGACTCTATTCTCCAAATTTAGAGCGGATGCCGAGGAGTACTTCCACGCTGTGTTCGTGAAAACCAAAGATCTTCTAGTTGAAGTGGGCTCAGCTCACGATGACGTCCCTATTCCCAGAGTCTGTGCACGACAGACACAACGCGCGAATGTCCCAGCGGCATCTGCTGAGGAGTACTATCGGCGCTCTGTGTATATTCCATTCGTTGACCATGTGATCGCTGAGTTGAAGAGCAGATTTGATGATGACACTGTGCCCGTTGCTCTCCGATTGAAGGAGCTGCTCAGGGGCTTAAAAGCAAACGTGGATGCTGTTCTTAAAGCCACTAAACTCTACGAAAGTGATGTTGAGTCACTTTTGCTCGTGCAGACGGAAACACAGCGGTGGACATGTTCCGCTCCGGCCTTCGAATCTGTCAAGAAAGCAAAGGAATACGCCGAGGCCCGTATGTTTCCGAACATCGCGAAGCTCCTTACCATCCTACTGACCCTGCCAGTCTCAAATGCAGAAGCCGAACGATCGTTCTCAGCCCTGAAACGCCTGAAGACATACTTGAGGAGCACCATAGGTCAGGATCGCCTCAACGGCCTCGCACTACTCGCCGTCCATAACGATGTACATGTTCCTGTTGATCGTGTGATCAACAAGTTTGCGGAAGGAACCGCTGTCTTCTCTTTGCTTAGGCTGCAGTGTGATTATCCTTTCAGTGTAATAACCTTTGCATGTTACTTTTAAGGCTACTATTATAGGTAATATTATAAAGTATAATGCTTACTGTCTTAAGCATGTATGTATGTATGTATGTATGTATATATATATATATATTATATATATAATATATATATATATATATATATATATATATATATACAGTGGACCCCCGCATAATGATCACCTCCAAATGCGACCAATTATGAAAGTGTATTTATGTAAGTGCGTTTGTACGTGCATGTTTGGGGGTCTGAAATTGACTAATCTACTTCACAATATTCCTTATGGGAAAAAATTCGGTCAGTACTGGCACCTGAACATACTACTGGAATGAAAAAAGTTCGTTAACCGGGGGTCCACTGTATTATATATATATATATATATATATATATATATATATATATATACAGTGGACCCCCGCTTAACGATCACCTCCAAATGCGACCAATTATGTAAGAGTATTTATGTAAGTGCGTTTGTACGTGTATGTTTGGGGGTCTGAAATTGACTAATCTACTTCACAATATTCCTTATGGGAAAAAATTCGGTCAGTACTGGCACCTGAACATACTACTGGAATGAAAAAAGTTCGTTAACCGGGGGTCCACTGTATTATATATATATATATATATATATATATATATATACAGTGGACCCCCGCTTAACGATCACCTCCAAATGCGACCAATTATGTAAGTGTATTTATGTAAGTGCGTTTGTACGTGTATGTTTGGGGGTCTGAAATGGACTAATCTACTTCACAATATTCCTTATGGGAAAAAATTCGGTCAGTACTGGCACCTGAACATACTACTGGAATGAAAAAAGTTCGTTAACCGGGGGTCCACTGTATATATATATATATATATATATATATATATATATATATATATATATATATATATATATATATATATATATATACATATACAGGAAGGCCCCGCTTTACGGCGTTCCGCTAATACGGACATTTCAAATTATGACCAAAACTCGCTATACGGCTCCCCCCACCTGACTTTCTAATACGGTCACCGTGCCCCACCCTGTTTGTTTACATTCTCCATGAGCTCAGTAAGCACTAAGTCTCTCCATTTTGTCTGGAAACTCCAAAATTTCAAATGTTTTTAAAAGTTATTTCATATTTTATATATACTCTGATAACTATACTTATGTATACCTGTACCTAAATAAACTTACATACTGTGCTGGCATGCAGGTACACATTAAAATTGGTAAGTGTCTTATGTCTCCAGATGTCATATTAGTAATAATAATAATCATCGAGTCATTTAAATGTCGTATATTACGTTAATATACACATTTTCATTAATCAATCCATGATATTTTTTTCAAAATTATATAATAAACACGATGCATAACATATAAATAAGATAAATACACCCCACAGTAGAATAAATAAACATAAATGTGAGATGTGGTAGCAGACGACTTGCACAAGTGACGCCATATTAGAAATGATAATAACAATACTCACCGAGTCTCATTAAATGTCGTATATTACGTTAATATACACATTTTCATTAATCCATCCATGATATTTTTTTAAATTATATAATAAACACGATACATAACATAAAAAGTGATAAAACACCCACAATAGAATAAAAAAACATAAATATAAGATTGGGAGCCACATAACTTGTACAAGTGACGGCAAGAATAACTTTTTTCTCTAATCTAACATAAGAGAAAATGTGTTACTGGGGGTAACTGTAAAAAATTTAAATCCTTTCGTAGTATGAAAAGTAAGTTTATTCAGGTATACACAAATACAGTTACATAGATTATCAACATAACATACGTGAAAGAGAACCAGGATAACCCAAAAAGTCAGTGTGACTTATTTCCATTGCCTTCACTCAGAGCTTCATTTCTTCTCAAAAATGATGTTACATGAGAATGGGAGTGTTCTTCTTTATTAATTCTACGTATCAATGTAGAGACAACCTGTACACAATTAACTTGTACACAAACCAGATGTGTACACTCGTTTGTTTACAAAACTTACCTTCGCCTGGTTTGTTTACATAACTCTGCGCCTGCCCCCTCTCATGTACTCATTCTTTCTCTCTCTCATTTATTCGTTTTATCTCATTTTAACTCCTGACCCTACATTAAGACTACAAATATTTTAAGGTAAGTAATAGTGAACTGTATATACATTTTATCGCTCTGGGATGCTTAAATATCATAGAATAGTATGTGTGGGGTGGGGTGGCCTGGTAAGGTAGCCTGGCTATTACCATACGTACCACACTTGATTTCTTACAATAAAATACTACTTGTCCCCACCCTAGATTAAGACTATAAATATTTTAAGGTAAGTAATAGTGCACTATGGTGTGTATTGTACTTTTTTATTGTTTTTTGATGCCTGGTTCTATTGCTAACTTAATATATGTTAGTGAAACTTGTTATCTAGTGTTTGTATGCATTTATAAGTGGAAAAAAGGGTGTTCCACTTTACGGCGATTCCGCTTTACGGCGGTAGCCTGGAACCTAACCTGCCTATAAGTGGGGGCCCCCCTTTTGTAAAAATATATATTATATATATAAT